AGTTTTGCCTGCCTTCGACACCTTCAGTCGCTCTCGACCACGGTTTGCGGCGCAGATGTACAAGCGCTTGTTCGGCAAAGATCGTCAGTGGAGTGCGCCGAAGCTGTCAGCGTGGATGTTGTTGGAGTCCATATTCAGGTATGCCGGTGAGGTTACCATTGTGGAGCAAATGTTGTTCAACAACGACGTCTTCCCTGGCTTGCGTGCCGTTATGTCAGCTGGATTATATCACGAAAATGCCGTAGCAGTGGCAGACTTCCTGCGTCGTGCCTTCATTCGACAAGCAGGCATGCGCACGACAGTGCGCGCAGCTTTCTCAAATCGCGATGGGCGCAGACGGACGTATGCCTCCACTGCTCGGCGTAGCGGGCAAAACAAGGCTACCAAGGTAGAGGTGGAACGCATCGGTCCGGATTCCCGGTTTTTTGACAACATGGTGGCAGGGCCCTGCAGGCATGGTCCCTTCATGCTGTCACTTTGGGGCCAGTGCTGCTGCAGCTTCTGGACAGCGTGGCTACTGGAGTCACGGACGTGGACGTGCTCGCGCGTGTCATGGAAGCACTTGTGGACGGCTTTCTTGGTCTTGACTTGCTGGGTCGTCCGACAGTTTGGCAAACAATTTCCCCAACAGAGCGCTATCAGTGTTACCACGCCAAGTTCCTTCTGTCCGACTTATACTATCTGGTTGCAACGCTTCTTTGCCAGCGTGGGCAGCGACTGCCGAGCGGTCGGTGCGACTGTGCACCATGTCATGTTCTCTGGCACCTCCGCAAGACTTATATGTTCTTTGGCCCGTCGTCTCTTGCGTTCCACTGTGCGCTGGAGCGCAAGTCTACAGGTGACAAGACCGTGAATTGCCGCACGGTTGCTGTGTGGCGACGTCTACGTGATCTGCTGGAGGTTGATCTACCAGGTCCATGGGATTTATATGTCGTTCAGATGCTGTCCTGTACTTGGCGTGTGTTTTTGGCGACGGAGCGCAAGCATGCCGAAGCAAGCGAGCTCGATTTCAGCACGGCATCTTGGGTCTCGGTTCCACGCCAGCTCGTTGTCCGAGTTTTCCAGCTGGAGTCGCAGCGGTTACAAGAATTGACACAGTGGGTTTCCTACCTGGATCTGCGGGCGGAGTTCGAAATGCTGTCCGGTCCTGCGCTGCGCTGGTTGGTTGACAGGGTGCGGCTATACCCCAACTTATGCAGGGACGTTCTCTCGAAGCCACTGCGAGAAGCTGCGGCCGAAACAGTCCGTGCTATTTAGTACGTAGTGTGTTAGAGCAAGGAGGAGGCCGAGGAATATTAATTGGATATTTTTTCATGCTGCTTTTCGCAGTTTTTTTCGGTTCAGGGATTCTGGTTCAGGCGAGGGTTCAGGGATTAAGGTGTAGGGCTTCTGGTTCGAGGCCCGTGCCTGAAGAACAATTTTAACCCCCGCCTGAATGAATGCGACCCGGCTCGCCTGACAGGCCTGAGTTAAGATGCGGTATTTGTGCTTGCTCAAAAGTGTTTTACATTTATTTCCTAGCTTAGCATGCTTTCTGATTCCATGCTCCATATCTAGCCGCAAAGCTGCTCAAACACCGAAGGGTGATTTTCGAAGTTCGTTGGGTTGCAGCTTTGGTGCACTCTAGCTAGCTCATGGCTGCTGTTCAATGTCTTGACATGCTTTTCAGAGAGCTTTATTTTTCGAAGGTTGCTTTTGACATGTCATGCTTCCAATGTTCAGGACGCTGTTCGCACTTCAAGCTAGTTAACAAAACCTTTTGAAGCCTCCGCGCGGCCATCGGATGGAGGGCGAAGGCCCGCCGTTGAGCGATTCCCTCTCGGCTCCCAGTACTCCGTTGAGTCAGCTGGTGTACGAGAACAGGGATAACTTCGTTAGCTTGCAGCAGCGCGTCTTGCACTTGGAGGAGCGGCTTCATACGGCCGAAAATCAGATTGAGGCAAACAACCGCCGCCTCACCTGGCTTGAGCAATTCTCCCAGAAGTTGCGGGGGCTCGCTGCACAGCTTTGCTAAACCTACATGTCCTCGAATCAATTGCTTCAGCCTGAACAGATTGTGCACCCACAGTTGCCTGTTTTGTCCGCTTTAGAAAGCTCTGCCGATTTGCCAGATGCAGGGGTTGCTCCATGTGATACAAGTGCTCCTTGGGCACGTCGCTTAAGCAAACTTCAGAACCGCACAGTGAATATCGATATGCCACAACTTGCTCATGCGTCCGCACTGGCAGCCGGCACCCCAGCGGACACCGGCTCGGATCTATCACTTGATTTGTCGTCATTTGACTTGGTGTCCTCGCATCAGTTGCTTCAGCCTGAACGGGTTTTCAGTGCTCGGGGTTCATGGTCACAAGATGCACCTATGCCACGGTCTGTCGATATGCGGGCGCCCAAGCGCTTGCGTCCTGCTCAGGAACCTGCGGTCAGGCCTACAATGCTGGCTGCACCGAGGCCGTCTCTTCGGCCAACTGCAGTGTCGGGTGCAGACGTTCGCAATCTTCACCAACCGGGTGTCCAGCATGTATCGGCTAGGCCTTCTCTTTCGGCATCTTCGGATTTCAGACGTGTTTGTTTTTCGGAGGTGGGTAGGGGCAACGACATGCAATCGGTTGCTGGCAATCAGGCTCGCTTCGTCCCTCCTTCATCCAAGGCCCCCCCCGCTGTCCGTATGCCAAGCTCCGAGGTCGTGAGTGACCCGCCGCCTCAGGTTTCTCCTGTCTTCACCGCTTATAAGCCTAGGCCTACTAAGGACGCACAGCCTGCTTATGTGTCACAACAGGCCGAAGACGATAAGAAGCTTAAGCTTGTCGGTAAGTTATGGGCGGAGCTAGTGGGCTTTGTGTTTGCCATGTCCCCAGTACTGCAACAGATGCGCGCATCCGCACATGCATCGATGTTGGAGGAACGTTTCTTGCGGGCTTGGGCCCCTTCAACTTTGCATCGCTACTTGATTTCGGTGCTTGCAGTTTTCCATTCATTGCAAGACCTTACTCAGGCTGACATGTCATTGTGGACTCAAGTGCAGATAATCGATGCGATTTGGGCAGCGCATCGCTCCGATGCTAGCCCAGATTTCCAGCCCGTCAATGCCATCAAAGCACTTCGGTGGGTTCGCAAAGCATTGCAATTGGAACTCCCCGACCTTTACGGTGGTTTGGTCGCTTTGCTGTTAGCTCCTCAAGTAAAGCCGCATCGTGAGTCATTCCCGGCTCCAATTAGATTGCTTTCCTTCTGCGAGGTTTTCTTGCTGCGCGGGCAGGGTTCACTCTTGGAGCTGTGTTGGGCCGGATCGATCCTGTTGTGTGCCTGGGCTTCACTCAGGTGGTCGGATTCGCAGCGGCTCCGCTGGAGCTCGTTTGAGATTTGTGCAAATGCATTACGCTGCGAGTGCTTTCGCACNNAAAACCACTCGTCGTGGTATGCCTGTTGCGACAATATCTGAGGGTTTCCATGGCATGGAGGGCAATATTATCTTTAGCTGGATTGCAGCATGGCTTCAAGCGCTTGCAACTGTGTGGAAACGGTTGCGTGCCGAGCACGATGCTTCCTGTGTGCCAGACTGTCTCTGGTTCCACTTTTGTGAGAAAACCGGTGCTTTCGCTCCCTTGACTTATGCCCAATCGTTGCGCATCCTGCGTGACTTTGCGGCCAGGGCAGGTTTAAATGCGGAAGCCGTGCAGTTGTCTCTCACTTTGCATTCTTTGAAGAGTTCCTTGTTGCACTTGATGCACCAACGCGGTGTGGACAAAGCCGATCGCATGTCGGCTGGGCATCATCGTCTTGATTCGGCATCCTTGTACAGCAGGGACGATACAGTGGGTGCAATGCGGGCCCAACAAGTGGTTTCTCAGGCCGTGCGGGGGGGTTGGCTGCCGTCATCACCTCAGCGCCGTGGAGCACAGCATAGTATAGTGCAGCAACCGATCTTAGTCATGGATTCTTTGCCCCAGTTCATTGCTGTGGATCCGATTTGGGGGCCTGTGCATCCAGCTTGCAATGCAGAATCATTCCCATCGCAGCATCAGCCAACAACAGTTTCACAGGGTGCGCATCTTTCTGCTGAGCAGGATCAGCAGCCTCAGGTAATGCATCCCCAGGAAGCACTGCCTACTGCGGGCGGGCTCACATCGTCCGATTCTGATCCACATGAGGCTGCGCAGAGCACAGCTGATCTTGGCACCACAGACGAGTTGTCTTTTTTGCAGGGCCCATCAGGGGTGGTCCACCTAGCTACTGCGGCATCCTGGGGGATACTTCATCAGGGCGTCTACCTTCGCCCGGCATGCGGTACCTTAGGCAAGAAGTTGCGCGTGGTGCCCTTCCCAGATTCGGGGGTACGCTTCTGCGGTCATTCTGCTTGCCGCAAAGCCTTGGAGTCTTGCGATTGATTCGCTGAGGGAGTTTTCTTGGCAATGTGGCAGAAGGCGGGCTGCTGCCCGGGCGGAGGACTTGCAATTGGCAATATCTGTCAGGCTGTGGAGCGCGGACTCGGTGGGCATTTTGCCTCTTGGAGCGCGGAATCGGCGGGCATTTTGCCCTGGTTTTGCTTTTGACTTGTGTCATCTGACACTCGGAGCGCGGAGGGTTCTGGAGCGCGGAAGGAATGTCGCGCGGTGAGCGCGTGGCATGTTGCCTCCCAAGGGGGAGGTCAAATCCTTAGTTTTGCACTAATTCTGATGCCTCCTGGTTTCGCACATGATGCTCGGTATGAGTTGTGTGAAAAGAATGGGTCGGATCGATGCTGTCCTTTCGGCGGACTTTTGTGGTAGCTTCTGCTCATGTTCCGCGAGTGTCATTGCAGCATTCATGTTGTTTTCAGTTCCCTCAACTCTGGTGCATTGTCAGTCATGGCTCAAATGTTGGTAGCTGATCTGTTGGCCACGCATGCATTTTCTGGTCATTTACTAGTCAGGTATCTAGCCGAACTTCCATGCATTGTTGCTACATGTCTTTCGCATGTTACTTCTTTTCTGGGCCTAGACGGCTTTGCTTTTCTTACGAGGATGGCTCTTTCGCATGATGATCTCGAACCAACGGAGGAAGTTGACGCTTCAGGTATCCAGCAAATGCTGGCCAGGTCAGGCATCCCGGATTGCATGTGGCGTGAGTTTGAAATATTCACTCCTGAAGAGTTCGGTGCTTTGGCTGCCACGGACTTGCAGTCATTCATTGATGCTTTGTCTTTCCCTGCCGAACCATCGGAGGTTTTGATTAAGGCCCGGATACGCCTCTTGTGGCGCAGGTGTGCTGTGCACGACGCGCCGTTGCAGATCCCTGCATCATCTGTGTTGCAGTCCACTGCTGCCAAGCCGGCTGTGTCTTCGGAGCAGTCAACATGGTCTGAGGCTTTCCCCAAGAAACTTTCTTCAGAGACCGTTCGGGAGATGGTGGCGAAATTCACGCGGCGGTATCCTTCGGAACCGCTAGGGCCGGATGTTATGCCAGGCCCACGGCTGCTGGCACTTGTGCATGCGCAGCTTCAGGAACGTCGCTGGCGCTGGGTGCCGTGGAAGCTCAGGCTTTCAGAGGAGCAACATGAATCCAAGAGCTTGGAACGTTCCCTTAAAGCCCCGCGTCTTGAAAATCTGTTGTTCGAAGAAATCCCAAGTAGGGAGTTGCCTGCTCAATCCATGGGTAAGGCTCAGATGCAAGAGCTGCTGCATCTTCATGCGGTCGCCATTGCGCTTGCCGACGGGGCTCACCTTTTCACACTCAGGGAAATGAATCGGCGCTTTATCGCCAAGTGCTTTGAGTTCTATCCTAAGGAGGGTGGTCTACGCTCCCCCAACCGTCTGGAGGCCGAGGTAGCCGATCAGCGCCTTTGGCAGCAGATTGCGGCTTTGCATAATGACGAATCTTGGACCTTGGATCAGGCCCATACGTGAGACTGTTGTGGCACGCAATGAAGTGGCCGTGCAGCTCATGCCCCGCGCAGTGCCGCCGAAATCTTCATGGCCAGATCGTCCTCGCAAAGGTTTGGGCAAGGGCAAGGATTTCAATGGCCGCAAGGGCGACAAGGGTAATAAGGGTGGCGGCAAGGATTCTAAGGGCCAGCCGCAGTTGCAGCGTCTTCGGGTGAATGGGTTTAATGTTGGCACATCGTGGCAGTCGGGAAAGACCCGCCGTCTGCTATGCCACGATTTTCAGCATGGCCGGTGCACTCGGGAGCAATGCAAGTTTGAGCATGTCTGTGGTGTGTTGTTGCCGGGCAACAGGATGTGCCTGGGGGATCATTCGCCGATGGAGCACAAGCGCAACACACAGTGAGGGGATGGGTGCATGCCATCCGATTTGCTTGCGGGGCCCAGCGATACCGTAATCCCACCTTCGCAGCTCCATGCCGGGGTAACTTCGGGGGCATGTGGACCCATCACTTGTGCACCATCGGCAACACAGGCAGATGACTCGCAATCAGATTTTTCCAGCCGCTTGTTGGGCGGAGCACGTTTTTATGAAGTCAACCAGGAGGCACTTGTCGAGCCTATATCTGATGATCATTTTTCCGCAGTCCAGGATATGGCTTGTGTCGAGCCGGGGTCTGTTGCTCAGTGCGTGGACCTTCCTTCGTTCATTTCTCCAGGTGTTCAGGATGAGCAGGCATGTAGCCGCATCTTGCAAATCTTGCGCGAGGCTACGTGGCCTACGGATGCCCCATGCAGGGTGGTGTGCTCGCAGTCAAGTCAAGACTTTTCGGGGTATTGGAATTTTGGGGTTAGGGCGTCGGATAGATCTGCCTTGACCAATGTCACCCGGTCACTTCCGGATACCCTGCGCGCGTTGAATGCTGAGCTCGTCAAGCTATGGCCTGACGGCTCTTGGAATGCTGTGTGCATAAGCTGCAACAGAGAGTCTGCTATGCATCGCGATTTGGCCAATGCGGCATCATCCGTTAATTTTTCGGTGTCACTTGGCCCTTTTCGAGGGGGCGAACTTTGGGTTCAAGGTACAGGCGGCCCCTGCATGCGCGAGGCACCCGGGGTTTCTTCACCAATCCCCGGTTTTGTAGTCCCCACTTGTAATCGCCCCATTTCCTTTGACCCGTTAAGATGGCATTGCACGCTACCTTTTCAGGGTGAACGTTGGGCTGTCTTATGCTATACATTGGCCGATGTGTCCAACTCTTGCCTTGCTGGCTTTGGTTTACCGCTGCAGGTCTGTGCGGCACAATCATCATCACATCTGGCAATGGTCACGCCAGTGGTGGCTTCAGACGCTGTTGCGTCCATGCAGACTGATGGGTTGACATCCCCTCCCGAGCTTCCTTCTGGCCCGCCTTCTTTGCCAGTGTCCCATAGTGGCGTGCGTTCGCACATTTTCTTGGATGTTTATCCCGGGGCTTCTTCGACTTTGTCCCATCGGGCCGCAGCCCTAGCAATACCCTTTTTGCCCATCGCAGCTTCCAGTGATTCTGGGGTTGGTTTGGTGGACGATAAGATTTTTGATTCCTTGCTAAGATTAGCACACTCGGGATGCCTCGCTTTCGCTAATGCCTCCCTCCCGTTAGCATCGTATCCTTCCCTGCATGCAAAGCAACAACAGAGGCTTGCCGGTTCCTGGGAGTGCTCTCAGCTGTTGCCTGCTGCAACCGAGGCGGGCCAATCCATGAATGGCCATGTGTACTCACTTTTATTTCGTGTGATAGCTCTGCTGCATGCGGTTTTTCAGAGCGGGGGCCATGTCTGCTTGTCTTTGCCTGTGCAAACTTCAGCTTGGAATGAACCGGTGGTGCAGCAGTTTCTGCTTGACATATCTGCGGACATTATCCACCTGTCCGGTGACACGCACGGCCCGTGTGGCGATTCTTCATTCGTGCTGGCTTCCAATTGGCGCCCGCTGCAATCTTTGCAGTCAGCTCTTGAGCAAGCTGCTCATGTGCGGCCACCGCTCAGTGGCAAGCGTGACTCCGAAGGCCACATGGTCACTCGCGCCGTGCACCAGTGGCCAGCTCAGCTTTGTGAATCTTTTTTGCAGGCTGTGCTGCCTTTGTTTGAGGGCCACTTATCCGGGCAGCATGATGATCGTCTTTCATTGCAAGCTGCTCTTGATGCATTGCCCCAGCGTTCTGCGACAGATTTCCCCACTGGCCAACAAGACGGCGGCGGCATTTACAGTTGCCCTGATTGGACTACGCCCCCTGCGGGTATGCCCGATGTCTTTCGCAGTCTGCGCTCAGACTTGATGAAGTTCTTCGCCGAACAGCGCATCTTTGACAGATTGCGCAAACATGTTGCCGCAGGGGCTGCGGATCCACTTTTTGATCAGACTGAGGTCGCCCATCTTCGCGAGCAATGGCAAGCTTGGTTCCGGGCCCAGGGTTTTACGGAAGAAATTTCTTGGGTTGTCCCCCCCGACCAGCCCTATTGCCTTCTTGCGCTTGAGAAGTTGAGTCAGGCTTTGCAAGATCGGGATGTCGCATTGTGGCGTGATCTTCAAGCTGGCGTTCCAACTGGTGTCGATGGTGATATCTCGAACAGTAATTGCTTCCTGCCGAGCCCGGCTCAATTTGATCCGTCGGCCTTTGATGTTCAAATATGCTCTGGCAACTGGCCAGGCGCTCTGGAAGATCCAGAGCTGCTGGATTCTTTAGTGCAGCAAGAGGTGGATGCTGGCTACTTGCATGTGTTCGACAGTCTTGAGGAAGCCCAAGAAAAATGGCCCAGGCTCGCAGTAGGTAAGGTCAATGTCATTAAAAGTGGCAACCGCAAGCCGCGGCTGATTGTCGACCCATCCATATCGGGGGTGAACGCTTCTTGCCACTTGCCAGAAAGGTTTCTACTTCCGGGTTTGGGGGATATCAGGTCTTGCTATCCCTTGCGAGGCTGTAGCCATGAGGTTGCAGCCGCAAGCCTCGATATTGCCGCGGCGCATAAGACGGTTCGCATTCGTGCTTCAGAGCAAGGTTTGTTGGGATTTTGCGTCAAAGGTCGCTATTATTTTTATAAAGTAGCACCTTTCGGCGGAAGTTTTTCCGCCTTATGGTGGCAACGTCTTGCCGGCTTTTACGTTCGTTTGGGTCACCGGTTGGTTTACATTAGCCACATTTTCATGATGTACGTTGATGATGCTTTGCTTATTCAACGGAAGGAGGCCATCGAGTTTTCGACGCTTCTACTGCTGTCTTTTTCCCAGGCTTTTGGGTGCCCCATCAGTTGGCGCAAGCTTCAGTTAGGCCCCAAAGTGGAATACATAGGGTGGTCCATCAACGTCCGCTCTGGTTCGGTTGAGCTTCCTGCATCCAAGGTGGCGAAGTTCCTTAATGCATTGACTCAGGTCGCTTCCAATGATCCGTGTTCCAAGCGGGACTTGCAAGCACTCATTGGCTTGATGCATTGGATCTTGCAGATTGCTCCCACCTTGTTGCCATGGTTGTGCACACTTTATCATGATTTAAGTAGACCGCTGGGTACAAATTTCTCCTTGCACGCTGGTGCTTGGCAGCAGCTGCACTCTTTCCTTGATGACGGCATGATTTTTCAACGCACCCCTCCAGGTACGAGCATTCGGGTCGGCAGCAAGCTCCTCAGTGTGAGGCACGTGGATATCAATTGCAAGCAGGATTTGCGGAAGGTCAAGTGCACTGGCAAGCGCCTCTGGGCTCGTATTGCGGACCCATCGTCATCTAAGCGCAAGATCTGTCCTACTAGCAAATCGTTCATCATGTTTTGGATGCATTGGTGTTTACGCCCGCAAATGCCCATTTCCTTGGCGTTTCCACCTTTGGATTTTAAATACACACTTGCTGCGGATGCTTGTGCCAAGAACGATGACATTGGCATCGGGGGTTGGGTTCAGCTGCCGGGTCAGCCTTGTGTCTGGTTCGCAGAGCGCTTCAAAGTTCAGGATTTCCTTGATCTTGGCCTGCCAATGCAGGCCCAAGCCAACTTGGATATCACGGCTTATGAGACTTTGGCACAAATTGCACTGGTCGTGTGCTTTGCAGCCTTCACTCAGACGGGCCGCTTGCGTGTGCGCATCCCATCGTGGAGCGATAACAGTGGCACAGAGTCAGTTGCCAATAAACTTTTCACGGTGCGCTCGCCGGTGTGTTTCTTTGCTCAGAAGCTGGCCACGCACGCATGGCGCAGCGGCGTTACCTTGGATTGTAGTCATATTTCCGGCTGCCACAATGATTCCGCTGATTGGCTCAGCCGTTGGGACAGCGACATGTCTGCGCTGCCCTCCACGTGGTCCTTGGATTACCGCGTCAGCTGCACTTTGCCTGTGCTTTGGGAAGGCCGACGTGACGTCAGAGTTTTCCCGCCTGCTTCGGCTTCAGCATTGCATTGGCATGTGCCTACACAGTTGCTGCAGTGACTGCATAATGCTGCGGCTCCGTTTGCGCACTGTTCTTGTTGCTTGCTGCAGTGTTGCCTGCGCTCTTGCTTGTCATGAGATGTTCCGCATGCAGACTGCACGTGTATGCAGTGATACTGCTTTCGGGGCAGTGGAAGTCGTGTGCTTCTGCAACTCTCTTGAGCTCTGCACTATGCGCCAGGCATCGGGTGAGTTCGACTCTCACGGCGCGCGGTCGGCTTGCCTTCCCCCGTGAGCTCGGGCGTTCTCACAGGACCGGTGTCTCGGTGCAGCATCGTCGGAGTTCGGCTTCCCTGCGGCGCGCGGTCGGCTTGCCTTCCCCGGTGGGTGATTGCGTTCTCCTTATGGCGGTGTCAACAAAAGAAAACGTTGCTCATCTCAGGATGGTGATGCGGCATAGCCTCGCTGTAATTTACTGTCTGTCTCATTGTACAGTTCCATGCTGGGGCATGTGCGCGTGTTGCGATATTCAGTTGTTTAGGTCGTACCACATCGGCTGTTCTGCGCAATTTCCCAAGCTTGGAGCTTCAGGTGCAGTGCGTCCAAGTCGTACTCACGTTTTGGTCGTGGTGTTGGTAAATACATGCGAGTCCGACTTCTCCTTTGGCAGGTTTAGGTATCGGTGATTATACACTTCTCGCTGTGTTGCTGTTTCAGACTTTGGACAAGCTGCTCGAGTGTCTTACCGCCAAAAGGAGAGTCGGTCCGCATACATGTACAATGCTGTGCATATTGAACGTCGTTGCAGAGTTAGGTTGCTATAGCTTTGCGGCTAGATATAAATGTANNAGTGTTTTACATTTATTTCCTAGCTTAGCATGCTTTCTGATTCCATGCTCCATATCTAGCCGCAAAGCTGCTCAAACACCGAAGGGTGATTTTCGAAGTTCCCACCCGCCCGCCCTTTGCGGCACGTGGGCCGTGGAGGATGCTCTGGAGCCTCACTGTAGTTTTGTACATACGGAAACTTGCATCCCTGAAGGGTGTGATCATCGGCTACTGCTGGTTGTTGTCGGTTTTGGTCCATCTAGGTTATGATACTGTTGGTTTTTTACTTTACACTTGGGCAGCCGGTGATTATACACTTCTCGCTGTGTTGCTGTTTCAGACTTTGGACAAGCTGCTCGAGTGTCTTACCGCCAAAAGGAGAGTCGGTCCGCATACATGTACAATGCTGTGCATATTGAACATCGTTGCAGAGTTAGGTTGCTATAGCTTTGCGGCTAGATATAAATGTAGAACACCCTGAAACCCTGAAAACCCCGAAACCCCAAGCTTCGAAATGTAAACTATCTCACGGGCCGAGCACTGAACCCTAAACCCTAAACCCTAAACACTCCAAGCCCATGTGTGGAGAGCTTCTCGAATCGATTGTTTTTGGACAAAATAGGAAAGCAAGAAACCCTGAACCCTAAACCATCACTATGGAAGCGTCCTGGCCGTCAGTTGCCTTTTTTCCGGAGTTTCGGGCTTGGGAGTTTCGGGTTCAGACTTTAGGGATTAGGGGTTTAGGGCTTATAAGGTTGAGGCAGTAGGGGTTTTGGGTTTAGGGTTTGATTTAGAGTTTAGGGTTTAGGGGTTCGCGGTTTAGGGTTTTCTGCATGAGTTTTTTTTGGAGCGGGACTCCCGAACCAGAGGGCCCAGGGATTAGGGGTTTAGGGTTTAGGGTTGGTACCCTTTAGTTCTGGGTGTGCGGAAACCCTTAGGATAATATTGGTTTGTGAGACCTAGAACAATCAAATATGAAGTACATGGACCCTTTGGAGGTGTTCTCATCATTTACTCGGTAACCCAGTGGTACCCTTGACCCTTTATGGGGGGTTCAGGGTTCCCTTATAAAATGCTTACCAAACAAAGGGCACCCTTATGATACCTACTATTTGCTTAAGAACCCCCAAAATTTCTTAAAAAAATAACCCTACATTACTCCGCGAACCCTCCGCGAACCCTCC